AATGCAATATCCTTTTTTCCAAACATGCAACATGCAACAAAACTGCATTGCAGTGCATAAATTGCAAATGAAATGCAATTTATGTGTTTTTTTTGGATCGTCAAATGCTGCAATCGATTGATATATGCCCCGACATAATTCAATAGTTTTGAAGGAATTTGAAGGAAAAAAATCAAAACATTAATAAAGTCAAAAAGCACAAAAACAAAACTATTGACAAAGCAACGAAAGGATAATATTTTTAAGCTAAAAATATCGATAAATTTACATTTTTTTTTTTGCTTTTTTTGCATTAAAAGTGCTTTTATGATTTCATTTTCATTTTCTTTTTCGTGTTTTTTTTTTTTTTTTTTTTGTTGCAAAAACCAAATTTTTGCATTGATTTATAGCCAACAGCAGCAACAACAACAACAACAAGAGCGGTAGTGACTTTGTTGTCGGTTTTTTTTATTTGATAGCGCAAAATGGCGTTACATAGAGGAACATGCAACTCTGTTATTCTATGCTGACTTCAGAGATTATTGCCGTTACAAATGTCACTGCAATTGTTTATGTCAAACTAAAAATTTTTAACGACAAAAACGAGCAACACCACCAACAACAACAACAATAACAAATCGACTGTTTCACATGTCTAAGTTTGTTCAGTTGTTGTTTCATTCGTATTGTTCGTATTGTAGATATTTTCCTTGCAAGCTTAAACATTTTTAGCATTAATCAAGCTAATCCTTGTGAATCCTGTCATTAAATTTATCAGCTCACAACATCATCGCTGGGTTAAGCCATATAGAAATGTCATGAAAAGAGTCTGAACACTTAGAATACCACACAGACACACATATCCACACTTTCAAACATGAGTGGAAGTGTACACACCCTCGTTTACACACTACGATTTTGTTGATTTCGTTGGCAGCTGAAATTATGTTTTTATGTTTTATGCAAGTGTTTGCATGCGGGTTTGTTGGTATTTGTGTATTTAGTAGCAGGAAATAAAGTTTTAAAATACTTTCGAAAAATTAAAAAAACAAAAAAACAGAAAACAAAAAACAAAAAACAAAAAGAAAAATAGAAGATGACAACAACTTTGCCAAAAAAAAAAATTATGGCAAAAAGGAGTTGAAGATAAGCAGCCGGAAAAGTTTACTTATCTTAATACTGACTGCAAAACTTCTAGTCCTTGCAGTGCTGCCAACTTTTGTTATAAATATTAAAGCTGACGGTGAAGTATTGCTTATGGCATTTTAAGCACTCTTTAGTCGCCGCTTTCATGTGTTTTTAAAGAAATATTTTGGTTAAATTAGTAGTAGATTAGTAGATTAGTTAATGTTAAGCACAGGGAGTTCTTCAAAGATCCATTCAGTAGTTTCCATTATATATATTCGGTTTTATACCATTGTCTTGTTAATCCTACAAGTAGGCTATAAGACTTTTTATTACTAAATCTGCACTCTATCGCTACCAGACAACTGTTTAAATGAGAATATCCACTCAGCGGTCTCCTTTTGCTAAATGTTTGTCTAATACCTCTGGCATAAGTATTCAAAGCATAGCCTGAGTAATTTTGACTTAAGCTATTTAGAACTTATAGAACTGTGGTATTAATTTGGGTCCTTTCTTAGTGCCTAAGTAAAGTGGTCATTTTGTTAGACTTGCTTCTACATTTAATGCCTACATTTACATTTACATCTAATGATAAAAATAGTGCATATGTTAATGTCTTTTATAATAAATAGTTGAAATTAATCACACAATCAAATTTAATGGCAAATTGTTGCAACATAAAAACAATATACAAACTTTAGTGCCTAAGCTTAATAAAATATGCTCTTATAGTTAGCTCTTCTCAACAAAGAGCTTAGATAAAGCTCAAGAATGGATAATTGTACTAGCTGGCCAATTCCACTCATAGAACTAAAAGTTTCATTGCGATACCAGATTAGACACCTCAACGGTAGTTGATGATAGTACACAGAATTTTGCCAATTTTACAAGATAATTCAATATAACATCAAAGACAAAGTTCAATCAGAAACAAAGGAGATACTACAAAATTTCGTTTATTCCCGGTTTATTACACCTCTCCAATCAACGCTGCTAGTGCGTTTTACCGACAAATATTTCTTTCTGATACATATCAGACCAGTGACGACTGCTCTAAGGTGCGGAGGTGTGCGGTGAACACCCTAACATAATTTGCAAAATGTTAAATAACATAGGTACATAAATTTATTAAGTATCTTCACATCAAGAATTATTATTATTTATTACATTTCCATATATATATATTTTTAAAGTTTTAGCAAAAACAATTAAATATAATTGTCTATGAAAACTCAATCAATTTACTTCTGTTAGCCGCTATACTTGTTAGTTGTGCTCATATATTTGCAGCTCAAATCACAGAAAATTTCTATTATATTTCGTCTCTCCCCTTTGTGTGCAAAGAAGTTGACCACACATTCATACGTTGCATATGAACAAAATAATGTGTGTGTGCTCCCGTTCGTAATATCAGAAATAGAGATTTATATAGTGGGAATTGTATGAGAGTAATTTTCTGTTCTCTTCGAATATCAACTGCATGCATACGAATCCAACATGATGATTTGCCAAAGTGATTGCATGAGCGGCTGAAGTTTGCAGCTCATCTCACCATACATTTCTATCACATTTCGTCTCTCCCCTTTTAACAGTAACACCCACGAATTTCTGTTCTTACTGTGCGGAGTACATGTGCGCACATTTGTACGTTGCAAGTGAGTTTGATTTTGTTTGATCACTGGATAAACATGTATGGTTCTGAGTTAAAACTCTTTTGTTTGAAAAAAGTTGGTTTGATGTTACAAGTATATGAAAAGTTTTGTTTTTGATATAATATTAAATTTATATATAAATTATTAATTTAATTTGTTTAATATGTTATTTTGTTAATGAATTGTTAATATAATATTACGAATATATTGTTGCCTAACATAATATAGTTATTATTAATAAAACATCTCATATATTTTAATATAAGTGGTACATGTAAAAACAACATTATAGAAGGGCCGCACACCCTTCCAGATAGGGCACGCGTCGTCACTGTATCAGACTATTCGAAAAATTTATAAAACTGTTTTAAAGCTATTTTAGATTTGAAATAGATGCTGACTTCAACTCTTTCTCGTATTTTAAACCCATCTGCATAGATGTTATTCCGCTTTGCAGCATTCCTCATATTCGATAATTGCTTTTATTCTTTTTCAATGATGCCTAATCGGTAGTGTGATGCATAATATAGTCTTATCAGTCTGCAGTACTACGTTTCATAGAGCTATGTCCAAAGGATGTTCGAGTTAGCTGCTCAGTTATGTGTAGTCTTTCAGCTAACTTTAATGCTCTATTTTCTGCAAAAGGTCAACCTGTGGTTGGTTGAGAATATCTTCAAGAGCAGCAGTTAGAGTTGTTCTTATGGTTTTAGTGGTGTAAAACACCGAGGCCTGCTATATCATTACCAAAGGCTTCATGCATGCTTTTTTTGTTTGTTAATTTAAGTTTGCCATATTGGATTGCCATCAAGTAATATGGATCTAACAACCGTTGTATAAGACCAGTGCATAAATCAGAAGAAAAGCTCCATTTGGTCCCCAATATCTTTCTACATGCATATAGAGCTACCACAGTAGCAGGTTATTCACAAGTTTCCCTAGGAAGTTGATATGATTTCTTTTGTGAGACTGAAAGCTTTCAGCTCCTTGAATTTATATAAATGTACAAATGATTTAAATGGCAAAAAATTTAAATACCTTTTGACCACTACTTCACATTGTTCTACTTTATCATATGTATTGTAAATTGAATTCAAATTATTTGTTAATTAAATACATTTATTACACCAAAATATACTTTATTATATCTATCAATTATATCTATCTACATATATATTTCAATAAATAAGGCTTAATATTTATTACCCAATTAATATTTTTCATAATCCTTGAACAAAGCAATAATGCTATCTCCTATTTTTGCAATGCGTTTAAGGAATTAACGAAGCTTCATTTAATTCCTTCCGTAAATTGTAATTAATTAACTGCGAAACATAAATAATTAATTCAATTATTATCAAATTTTAGTGTAAACGTTGCATGACTCAACTTTTATTTAATTTTTTGTTACAATAATAAATTTATGATGTATCGATACTTTTTAATTAAATATAAATTTATTTTTCATGATTAAAAGAATCCTTTTAAGCAAATAACCGCAATAAAACTGCAACTGCAACTGCCACTGCAACTGCAACTGCAACTGCGACTGCAACTGCCATTGCATACGAGCAACTTCCATTATAAATCAGTAGCACTATTTTTACATGAAATGCTTTATTTTATGTACTCGTATTTATTGTACATAAATACTCTTGAATATGTAACACTGGTGCTTATTGTATGTTTTAATTTTTATTTTATTTTTATGATTTCTTGTACAATAAATATAATTAATAATTATTAATGAATTGCAAACAATCGCTTTCATACAACAAAGTACCTTATTCAGTTAATTTGTTTAAATATTTCGTTTTATTGGTTTTGTTGGTTTGTTGGTTTGTTGGTTTGAAATTAAGTAAAAGTGCCACACAGCAACACTGACAAATTGCATTGAACTGCAACGCTGCATTTTGTATATAAAATTAAAGTAAACAAAAGTAAAATAATAATATTTTTAGTTTTAATTAAATCAACTCTGAAAAGTATATTAACAAAACCATATTAAGAACGGCTTGTAAATCTTTAGTTACGTGTAAAAATATTTATAGATATTTTCAGTTGAGTTTTATAATTAAAACTTATAGTTTCATTATTTTTTTGTTTAACAACCTTAACAACAAAAATCTTTCTGCTAATTTACTAACTCAAACAATTTACTTTTCTCTTTTTTGTTAACTTTATACGTTGTATTGAAATATAAACGTACATACGTACATATGCGTACAAACAAAATACAAAATACAGGGCTCCGATTTACCCATTTACATATGGTATGAAAGCTATCCAGAACACATCGAAGAGGGTTACAAAGGTCGCGTCTCGCGTGTGTCACAGGACTCGCCATTCGGTTCTGCGTCACTCAATTTGACCAACATCAAAGAGTCGGATCAGGGTTGGTATGAGTGCAAAGTTGTGTTCCTAAACCGTGATCCCAAACAGCATAAAAACGGTACATGGTTCCATTTAGATGTGCATGCACCGCCACGATTTAGCGTTACACCAGAGGATATTATTTATGTTAATTTAGGTAAGTAAAATTTTAACATTACTTTCTTTTTCAAGTATTTAAACAATTATTTTAAAATAATTCAAATAAAATTAATTATACAATATTAGACACTGTATATGAATAAGAATAAAGTATCATGAGTCAATACACAGATTATTTGGCAATGTATAATACCCCATCCATAGCGTATGGAACAGGGAAGAAGGAACGCAAAGATATTCTGTTTCTTTGACACATAGATCATTTGAAAAGGTGTGTAATTATTAATTTTACTGCATTTATAGTGCCACCACTCTTAATAAGAGCGTTATTTGCTCCTATCAAAATGATCGAATTATTGAAATGAACACGTCCAAATTATGAAAATATTTTTAAGCAAAGCATTTTCGACTTTCCGTTGAATTTTCAACACTAGTTTCAAAAAAAGTGTTCTCTTCTTGTGGTATTTCTTTGACAAATTTCTTTGTCAAATTTCTTTGACAATTATCATAATTGGGTCAAAAAAAAAAAAATAATATTCTTTCTTTTGCTAATATGGACAAATTTACAACATACCTTGTACATCAATTTGATTCAGTTGCATCCGCACGTACCATACAGAAAATACCATTGACTTTTGTATTTCTTTCCTGAAAGGTGAGGAAAAATTTCTTAAGTATGTGTAATGGTAACCACCCAACAAATGTATTTGATGCGCTTCGCACGAGGCACAAATAATGCGCATCGCTCTTCTCGTCAATCTATTGGTGTTTATCGCTTTGATGCTCTGATTGATTAAAATATTGCACACGTTGCTCTCGTGTTCTCGTAATATGCGGACATTACAAGGTATGTGCATCGATAATGCTTATTTGAAAAATATTTAAGCTGCTTCGAGCATAGCAAGTGCCTTATATATATGAAAGCATCACCACCCCAAGTAAGTTTCCCGCAACGGGTCTTGACCGACTGCCGGCTTTTTTGTGCTGATAATATTAGGATATGTTGGTAAAGAATATCACCAAGAAAGTTTTAGTGGTGTTTTCCCATTCCAAATGCTGTACTCAATGTAGAAAACAGACATCGTAGTGATTTTATAATACTCATCTACTCATACTTTCTAAAACACATATTTGCTGCTTGATTAGGCACTGATTCTTCGTTGCCGACATTTATAATAAATGTTTGTATTCTTTTTACATTTACGTGTATATCAAGTAAAGAAAAGAGGATTTGTGGATAGAAATATGTTTACTACTTTATTTACCTGTAAAACATTCCGTAAATTTTTTACACTGCCATTGACAAGACCATTCTTAGATTGTGAGGGTCACCAGACTGAGTTATATGCTTCCATTCTTAGTCTCCAGTCTTAATTTCTGAAGAACTCCGATTTTTTTACTACTCATTATTTATCTCTATTATGATATATATATTATATATTAGAGATAATATCTATTACGAGTATGTCAACTGGATATCACGATCTTCCATGATTATTTCAATTTTTTCTATTATTTTTTCACTGAAACTTATGGATTCATGGAGTGAGCCAGTATCAACTTCATGTAGTTGACTATTCTTCATTATCCGATTGACATTGTGATCAAATAAATGAATCCCACATTACACCGTCTAACATAATAGTTTGTGGAATGAATTTCTATGTTGTTTTGTTTTTTTAATTGAAACAGTCTTATTTCATATGAATTCATTTAATTTAATTGTCTTTCTCTTTCTATGTCCCTCAACAGATTAGGCAAAGTTATGTTTAAAACCGATCCTTAAACAGATTTCATGTAGACCATGTTATGTATGCGCTAATTCATTAATTGCAGGCTCATATGAGATTGACGTCTTTTACTCTTATTTTCCTTTTACAAGTTCTTTACGATTTATACTTAATGCTACTCTTCAGATAATTGAGTTACATATATATCACTACATGTAGTGGTTGAGTTGCTCTAGAGCAGATCTTAAGGACGTCTTCTCTCTTAGTATTTGGTTATCTTGAAAGTTTCTGCGAGGTGTATATTTTTGATTTAAGATGTACATGCATGATTTGAACCAATTTATTCTCTTTGTGAATTTTGTGAGACTTCTGATATCAGTTTCTATAAGTTCTTTGGAGTTCTTCTCTCCTTGCTAGAGGTAAACAATTCTTCTTCTTTTTCTTGGCAGATACCACTGATATTATTAATAAGCAATCGATACAGTGTATGTTAATAATCGGAGTTAATAATAGGATTTCAGTTTTACTGAGATTAGTGAACTCTGATCTTTTGGCACAGCTTTTGCGTACCCGATCTTTAAGTGCCAGTTGACGTGGTACGCAGACGATGGGTATATTGTTCTGTAGCGAAGGATATATCGACTTTTGACTAAATATACGTGTAACATTCAAGTACTTTCAATCTTATTGTTATTTTTAATAATACATATTTCAGTCATGTCTTTCAATAAGAATTATATTATTAAATTTCTTTCTTCCAAAATTTTTTTTTTGCATAAATTTTTTTTCTGCAAGCAATATTTTTCTTTGTACCATACCAACAATTTTCCTAAGAAAATCCTTTCTTCCATTTTAAATAAAACTAAATTCATATTTTTTTTTTTTAAACTGAAATGTTTCGCACAATTTATTAGTTCAGATTTGTCATTATAAATTATTTTTTATCACACATCAAATTTTCTTATTCAGAGTTATAAATTTCAGTTTTGTGTGTGTATGTGTGTGTGTGTGTGTGTGTTTGTTTGTGTAAGTAAAGCTGTTATCACCTAAATAATATAAAGAACCCTTCTTGTCTTCCTGCGGGGCTCCTTCGCATTCGCAATTCGCACAAAAGCACTGTTGCCGCACAAAATATGATTCCCATTTTTCAAACTCGCACGTACCAAAGGCGATTACAACTGAAAGTGTATCATGATGACTTTCAGTTTAAGTTTCAGTTTGAGTTAAGTAGATTTTTCATTTTATATGGAATAATTCTGATTTCGCTCTGCCATTTCATCATCATCCTGCATGCATGCCTTGCCTGGCCTGGCCTTGCCTTGCCGTGCCTTGCATAACTGTGAACAGTCGCTTATGTGGTATATGTATTAGATTTTTGGTGCTAGGGGTGGGTGGATGCGTATATTTCAGTTTTAAGCACATCAACTAAATATAGAAATCTTCTTAAGCAATTTTTCACCTCTAAGCAATCAGTTGTCACAAATTCAAATTCATCAACATCACGTGTTTCCCTTACGGTTTTTCGCCTCACTACAGTTTGCTGACTGCTAACTGCTAACTGCTAACAGACAACAGCCAACAGCCAACAGCCAACAACTAACAACTAACAGCTGACTACTCACTACTCACTACTGACTACTGACTACTGACTACTACCTTTGTACCGTATACCGTTTATTCCCCACTAATGCCATCAACTGTCCTGTCATAAATTGTAAATTGCCTGTGCTCTATTCCGAAACCCCTTGAGTTTGTCACTTCGAACAATATTTCCTACTTACCATTATTTATTTCTTTTTCTTTTTTACTTTTGCAATTCCATTTAATATTTTTTATTTTTCTTTTTTTTCTTTCTGTTCTCCTGTTTATGTTTTCGGTTATAATTTCTTCTTCTCTTCCCCTATTTTGAAATTTTTGTGATTTGTATTTTTTGGCTCAATGTAGTTTTGCCTATTTTTTTCTTGGCATGTTTCAACCATTTTCGTACGTGTGAAAAATGTGGCATACTTTTAGGCACATGAGCCTAGTTCCATGCCAATGTGTTTCCCTGTTTTTGATTGGATGAGTGTGATTATGTGTGGCTGTCACGTATTTGCTTGTCCCTTTGTGCATGTTTAAGTGAATTTCATAATTTATTATATATTCTTTTGCATTTTTCATTTGTGATTTGTTTTTTCGCATATATAACACTCCACTCCAACTCCTATCTGTAACCATTGATTTGATAATTTCAGTTGAAATTGAGTTCTTCTAAGGTTGTTTGTTGTCTTTGGAACAAGGCGAATTTAAGCCACTAATATAATAGGGTGTAAAATAAATATCACGATATAGAGTACAAATTGCATATTTTTAGGTGCTTGAAGATATTTAGGAATTAGTTATAACCTGCAGGTAATTACTTATTAAGAAGTAATTCATTATTGATACACGATAACAAAATAATATAAAAACTGTTCAGTTTCTTGTTCAGTTTATCACATTTATGCATACTCAGAATAAATAACATATATTCCATAAGTTTATGAACCGTCATATAGTAGAACCAAAACATCAGTAGCATTTTAGTTCTTCACTTTTTATAAGAATATATCCAAAAGGTTAAATCATTGTTCGTGTATAAGCTCTTTGAAGTTGAGCTTTGAAGTCAGTGTATTCTTTGCCAATGAAAATCATTAAAGGTCTTTGTGCAAAGATTTAGAAAATGGATATCACATCAAAATGGTATTATCTTCCTTCAAAAACATTGAATTGCAAGTGGGTTAGTTTAAGGTTAAAAACGTCTCCGCACTGCACCACCAGCAAAAATCTTCCCAAAAATACAGAAAACATCTTAGAGTGTTCTCTGCATGACGAAGAAGTAAATAGAAGGTTAAGGCATAGCATTGAGAATAATGAGCAATAAAATACATCAATTTTGGCGCTTATATAAACTATTTGCATACACACTTTTTCTGAGCTACATGTTTTGGAACATTATGGAAAGGATAAAAATGATTTTGTTGGTTTTTTCATCAACAATTTTTGAATATTTTTTGAACTGGCGCATCCCCGTATTTCCCTGGCATATAGATACTCTTAATTTTTGGCTCTTTTCACATCTGAAAATATTCTTCCGTGGAAATAAAAAGACTGTAGCTGCCGTAAGAGAAGGTGCTTTCTGGAAATTTTAGAAAACAGCTACAGAGATAGGATACAAATATCGGAGCGTCGTTGGAATAAGTATATTGAAGTAAGGAAAAATTATTTTATTGTGAAATATAAAAGTTTTTAGTCACAGTTAAAAATCAATTTTTTTAACCGTTCTACAAACGCATATTGAAGGACCCAGAAGCATATTGATTTAAGATACTGTCTTTGCCGAAGATTTATACTAGACTTATACTTACAATCATCGAATTCCATTTGGATATTTTTCGGATACTGTAAATGCACTGTTGATCGGTTTCTTTTAAAAGCAACTGCTCTTAACCACTTTATATCTTGAAATATCTTTCAATGAAACAAGGACTCTTGTGCATAAAATTTTGATGGTACCTTTACTACTTTGGCTTTAAGAGCATTTCCCATTCTAGTATTCTTTCCAACATTCACTATGTGCACCTTTTTTTCGCTTTTTGTAAAATTAATTTTTAATAATTCTTAAGGATTTCGTTAAAGCAACTATTCATCTCAATTCGCCTTTGTGGTCTCGCAGCTACGGAATTTTCGTTCTCAATTTCTTCATATAATTTTTTATTTTTATAAATGGACATGCAGACATTTTTAATGGACATTCTGACAGCGCAACTGTCAGGGAGTAGAAAAACTTATTTTCTGTTAATAAATGTACACAGAGAGAGTAAAGTAAAATATATTAAAGAAAATGGAAAAATTTTGTATGAAAAAAAAAAAAAATTACTTTATATCTTAAAAAAATAACGCATTTAGTGTAGTTGGTCATAGTTCTTATATTCAAACTTCAACATAATATCGTCCATTTTTAATGTGATAGGTAAGAGATTAGAATTTTCAAATCTTCAAATTCAATTTTTGAATTCCTCTTATGCCAGAAGGTTAAGCATTCACATATAGACGTATCATAAGTATTACTTAGAGATGCCTAACTAAGTTTGATTTAAGTTAAATGTTGCAGAATTGGTATAAGAATGTATAAATCATTTTCTTTGACTTCTATTTGTTCATTAAGGCTATTAAGTTCATTACCGCTTCGGTAAGCACTAGCGATGAAAGCGCATTCTAAGTTAGATCAAGCGACTTTCTACGGTCTCTGTTGAATTACAATATGTGGTGAGCGACTTGCCAACGATATGGATTACTACTTCTGGATTAAGTAATTCAAGATTATTTTAGTATCTTAACACAATAAATAGAACTCGTTAATAACCTTAAAAAATTGTTAACACATTTCGATATTACGAGTATAGCCCATTATTCACCACACGATCCCAGTAGCAGTTCTTTAATCGATATTATATTTTGCAGTACCGATGAGAAAATGTTCAATTTTATGCATCAGGCACCAATAGCAAAATTTTTTGACGGTGTCTGTTTCAACTTATCATTGCTCATAGCTGTAGCCATTCTTGAGGCGGTCTGACTTAAAAGAGCCGACTTATAAAGAAGTGTTCGGTGCTGATAAACCGATTCTTTTAATTTTTTATTTTTTGGAAACCTTAAAGGTATACTTATTCGCAACTAAATAATTCCTCTAATATTCCTATCTGGTGAATGTGACCCACCGACACACAACAGATGAAAATATCTACCGAACTTAACATTGGACAGGAAATTAGTAATGCTAAATTCAATTCATATTTTTATATTCTTAAGGGGCACAAGACCGGACTATTTCTTATGTAATTAGTCCCTATTAGAAGCTGGTTGTATCGTAGATATTTCTGACGTACTAATTTACATACCCTATATTCATGTTACACATTACACAACGCTGTATATGAACTAAATACTCAAGAGTTTTAATGATAGTCGACTTTTCTCAGTGGGACGACTCCATCGCGACTTTCTTAACTGCATCGCTGAAAAGTATCGTAACAGAACTAGAGGCGAAGGTAAGGTAAACAGTACCAACCAAATCAATCTACCTATCCCAAGTCGGGTGAAACTCCCTGACGTTTAAATACATTGTTCCTACGCCGCGTAATCAATGTTGATTTATAAGAGCTGCAACGTAATTAAATTTCCAGCTAAGCAAACTGTTTACTTTATACCGCCCCGACTTAAATACTTTGCTCCTCTTTTATCCCTCTGGCATTTGATTCGCCTATACATCAAAAAAGCATAAACATTATGCGGAAATGCAATTGCATTAACCAATTTATACTGCATAAGTCAAGGCAGCGGCAGCCAGGTAAACACGCCTGGCATATGGCAATCAAATTTAAAGCAATTTTAAAAGTCAAATGTACGCGAATAATGGAATTAAGAGCAGTAGAGAAAACAAAAGAAGAAAACATGAGAAAGATGTAATAAGAAATAATAGCAGGAAAAACACGTAAATGCAAATTGACGATAAACAAAACCAATTTAAGCGAATTGACTTAATTGTGGTAGTACGTAAGGTGAGCGGATCAGAGACACATTCATATGCATTAACAAAGACAAAAAACTGTAAAATAAAAATTACAGTTGCGGTATTTTATTCAAAGAAAGCGGCAGAGTTGCCATCAATCAGCACATGCAAAACCACATCCTTGAAAAAGAACAACAAAATGCACTAAAGTAATATTAACAATAACTAAAAATATATGTTACACAAAATAAAAAGCCAAAGCGCACAATAAATCACGAACCAAACACAAATCCAGAGAAAAACTTTCCGTATTGCAAGGACTCAGAAATTCTTGAATATACACCGGAATCCCATATCCTGACTTAATAGTACATGTGAATGTATATGGACCTCAGCTACAATACGTACCTCAACTTGCATATTGCATATGCTTACATATATTTATACGTTTTCATTTAACTATTTTTATCCTGCAGGATAAAAACAAGGATAAATGCTAACGAGTAACAAAACAATTGGAAAAAAAGAAGCACGAAGAAAAGAAGGGCAGACGACAAAAACTACACAATTGTGTGCGTCGTCATGCTGATATAAAAGTAAACACACACACACACATATACATGCGCATAAACAACAACAATAACCAACGAATTGCAATAAAAACCAACACAAACGTTCGCTTATTGTGAAAACAGCGCCATCTTTGTGCGTTCCCCTGGCTTTGCGATGTCGTTAGCGTTGTCGTCATTATATTATTGAAGCATTTCATAGTAAGAGTAGTGCAAATGTTCACCCATCTGTATACCTGTAAACGTTTCATAAAAAAACGCTTGCACTACACTTTTTATGCCATACCAATTTCATTTACGTACTTACACATCCACTATACCATCAGAGTCGTCTCTATATAATATAGATATTTTTACACGTAAGTATTGTGCAGAACATTTAAAAAAAGCAATGACACTATTTAACTATAACTCTTACTCTTATAAACAGTGCTTCGATTCGGATATCAATTCCGAACCCGCAATTTTTCAGAATGGTAAGAGGAACTGCAAAAATGTATCGGTCCACCATACGTATTGCAATTTGATATATTGCTTCTATAAGAAGACACATGCAATTATCGGAGTAAGCAACATAATCTCCTACCATCTCCTTCTTTCTAATAAAACGACTCATTACTGCTTTTAAAATAAACCCCAAACTTTAATTTTCCAATTTCTACCAATCTTATTATTACTTCTTCCAACGCAAAAGTACATTAAAATATATTGTAATGTAATGTTCCCTCCCCAGATATCACTGACTAATTTGAGTATTCCTCATAATGTTCGTGATTATTCAGTGACTGATCTAAGATCAGCGTACCGCCCCGTGCGGTTAGTAATTACTCTGAGATTAGATAGTGCTAAGTAGGATAGCCTGTCGGTCTTCGCATATAGCTCCAGAGTTCTGTTCCTTATGTATTTTTTGACCGGATCTATTTTAAGGTCTCTTAGCAAGTCATTCGTGCGGATGTGCCATGGCACTTTGAAGAGCCTTCAGAGAGCCTGACTTTGAGAAAATTGTAGCTTCTTTAAATTTTAAATTTTTTAAATATGCAGCTTGCTTTGAGGATTTAAATTTTAAAATTGAAATCTACTTATCAGTAGTCCTAACTTGCAAATGTTGGGTTATGAAGCCGATGCCAGCAATACTATTATTAATAGTAGTATTATGCCAACAATAGTATTAAGAATACTCATCCTTGCTTTATTTTATCTTTAGATTACTTTTTCTTAAGACATCAGTTAAAATTATACACATAAAATAACTTTTTTTAATTTTAGGTGATTCAATTATTCTAAATTGCCAAGCTGATGGCACACCAACACCAGAAATTTTGTGGTACAAAGATGCTAATCCCGTTGATCCCTCGCCTACTGTTGGCATCTTTAATGATGGCACCGAGTTGCGGATCTCTACAATTCGTCACGAGGACATCGGAGAATATACTTGCATTGCACGTAATGGTGAGGGACAAGTCTCCCATACGGCCCGTGTTATAATAGCGGGCGGCGCTGTAATCATGGTAAAAAGAAATTATTTTCAAAAAAAAATCCCAAAAAAATTAAATAACTTAAATTAAATTCAAATTTTTAAAGAATAAGTTGAAAATTAATTAATAAATAATAATTAGTAAATTTAACTTAAATGACTAAAACGCACGTTTCGCTACAATAATGGCTACGTAAATTTTAAGCCATTAGTTTGGGTCAATTTAAAAATAATCGAACGATGATAAATTATAAAACAGACAAATATTTAAAAATCGGTGAAGTACATGTAATTTTTCTAAGCGATTTGAAATTATGTGAATTACTACATTTCCTCCTCCTCCTCCTCCTCTTCCTCTCTATAACATTAATCACATTAAATGTAGATATCCATTACGTAAATCGGATAAAAAGGCAGTACCGCAAATAACATAGAAAAGATCTGTGCCAAACCGCACCTTTTACATTGCCTATCTACAAATGTAAAAAAAACAAAATAATTGATTCATCGAGATCACTTTTCTCTGTCCAATATACTTGCCGTAATGACGTGACACTATTTTAAAAGTAGACATGTGTTCGGTTAGAGAGCGTGCTTTATATACAGATATCATATTTTGCAGTTGATAACGATACCAAGTTCTGCTCCCACTTCATACTTCATCAAGCCTATACGCTATATCAAGCTCAAACATATGCACATATGCACAAGCCCCAGAATGAGTATTAACATATCGAACTGAAACGCTCCTTCAATATCTAATCGAACCATCCATGAATGAGTTTTTCTCTTCCGGAAAACAATTTCGAAATGTGATTGCAATCGAGAGCAAAGAAATAACGTAATGATATGAAACAGACAAAACAGTTTTGGTTAGGGCTCCAGAGAAGTTTACTTCGAGGTGATACAATTTTTTACTAATAATGTCTTTCATAAGATCTGTTACAAGGATAACTGCTACAAGGATATGAATGAAGACATCTACCTATGCGATCACGAGCTGCTTTGAAATTGAACCATCTCATTTAACTTTGACCCAAACATTCCTAGGCAAGATAGAATCCTCTGCCTTTTTGCTACATTGTAATGTCTTTCCCTTGTCCTTTCATATCATATATACTATTTTTTAATATTATAAAGAAATCACCGCTCATTTAATTTCGAATCGCTTAGTGTTTACATGTATGTATGTGTATTTAATTTAATAAAATAAATTTCATGTTTATAGTAAAATATCGGTTGAGTTTAATAATTTAAATGTCAAATATATTAAAGTAATTATATACATATATTTGTAATTCTTGTGTTGTTGTTGTCGCCCCCTATTTATAAACAAACGAAAAACAAACAAATTTTCAATGAAAAATTATTAAAAAAAAAACGAAATTATCTCATATTTGGTTTAACCTGCAATTATTTTAATTTACTATTATTTTTTATATTTTTATATATTTTTATATATTTTTATCAAGCAATTCATTTATCAGCAGCACAAAATATACAAAAATCAGAAACCATAACAAAAAAATAAAGAAATCGAGAACAGAACCTGTCCTAAAGACAGGCTTCCAAAATGAAACTATTCATCGATCTCATGCCTACCTTTCATAACTTCAGCAAAAAACTGATATAAAATCATCATCGACTTTACATTGAAAAAGATTCGAGATATATACATTTATCATTGTTTTTGTATGTACCATTAGTTACATAATTCATTATATATATGTTATGAAATATTAAGGTATCCTTTATCCGATTTACTACCAGAAGAAATTCTTAATAAAACTGCACTTCAGCATAGACTCTTCAACAATTATAACGGTTATATATACTCAATCTGCTTTATGTATTTACCCACAGTTAGTCTAGTTTCAAAGTTGGAGTAAAATATTTATGTACGAGTTGTTTAGAAGATGAACTTCGATCATCAGAACTTTTTTCTACTACTGTACGGTACAATTCCGCCAGTTCAGCTCAGTAATAGTTATTAAAGCCTTGTTATGGAAGAACAAAATTAAACTTATTAGTTCAATTTAAAAAATGATTAATAGAACCTGATCAGGTACGCTTCAATTTTGGGAGAAAACATAATATATCTCTGACACCAAATGTCCAGAACTCAAGGTTAACTACCACTGATTCGCAGTTATCTTTACTTTTTGAAACCTTAGCGATCAGTTCACAAACCAAATGAAACACCAAAACAAGGTAGTGCGCGTCAAGAAATAAGTCTTGGGCAGGTGGCAAAGGAGTTCAAGAAGTGATATTATTTTATTGATATAGTTCTGTTTATTGTAATGTGTCAAAAACATAAAAAGGATCAACTGTAAAGTATTGTTCAAATGAAATTATTGAAGAAAGTCAATCTTCAATTTTGTTATCATTTAATTAGAAAATTGCCGTGAGGATTGCTTTTTCATTTTGAAAGGAAACTTGTATTGAATTAATACAATAGCATTAGAAGTATAATGATCTTTGGGCGTTGGAGCCGGAATCTTTTCTACGGACCTAATGATTAGTAAATCATACCATCTTTCAAATTCCACCTCAATATTTCAGGTTGAAGTTTTTGCCATCCTTAGGGCAAGTGTTCTTGTTTTAAATATGCGCCTTCACGGAAAAGAGGTCTGCATTCTAACTGACAGTCAGGCAGCTATTAAAGTTTTATTAGCAGTCTGTCTGTCATCGAGATTAGTAGAAGAATGTAAGGAAATTATCAGTGAAGTAAGTGAGAGGTCCAAGGTTACTCTAGTATGGGTTCCCGTGCATTCTAATATTGTGGAAAATGAGCGCGCTGACGAGCTTGCTAAGCTAGGCGCCTCTTCCACTGATACCCCTATTTCAATCCCTGCCCCTGTTAGCTACGGGCGTAGGTTGATTTGTGACCATTTTTTGCGACAGGCAAATAGTGAGTGGACCCTTACTGTCTCAGCAGCCAGGTCAAGGGCTACTTGGCCCATCTATTCCAAATATAGAACCTCTGACTTAATCTGTAGAAACAAATCTGAGGTTTCTAAGCTAATATCTGTCTTTACGGGTCACTGGTCCATATGACGGCATGGAGCTAGATTTGGCCTTCCCTGTGGTACCTCATGTAGTGGGTGTCTACCAATACTTGAAGAAATGACACCAGAACACCTGATGTGTTTTTGTCCAGGTCTGGCCAGAACTAGGTTTAAGTTTCTAGGGGCCCCTTTCTTCAACTCACTTAGCGATATCTCCAGCATCAGCATTAGCCAGATTCTTGCCTTTGTTAATGCCTCTGGTTGGTTCTAGTTTGACCCTCTATCTACTACCCACTATTACGAGGTTTTCGTGGATTCAAAACGGCTTTCATCCTTAGCTATTTGAGGAAGATTCGTCCTCCCTCCACCACAACTAACTAACTAACTATAATGATCTCTAAATAGTAGGTATTGGATTGATTTCTTGTTTTTTTTTGTGTTATATTTTGTTTGTGATGATTAGTTGGGATTAGCATTATTTCGAAACGCACACATTTTTTTTCAATTTGCTACCTTAAACTTACACATTCACTATAAAATGGTCTCCTAAAACAGGACTATCCAGACCTAATGCGATCTTGGGCCAATATAATTTACTATACAGATTAGAGGGCCATAGAAACAAGTATATACGTCCATAGTTCATACATTATTAGATTATAAAGACGGTTATACTGTTAAATTTATTTTAATTAATTTATCAATTTATATTCATTCATTTGTTATATCATAAAAATAAAATAATGTGGTTTTACCAGTACACTAAAAAAAATTTTTGCGTAATTATAGTAGATTAAAAACATGTCACTGGCCGCACAAACATTAGTCGCGGGACGCACTTTGGACAGCCCTGTCCTAAAGAAATACGCAAGGTGGACCACAGTTCTGTTTTCTTCCTAGTTGACAGTTGTCAGCACTTCTACTTTGAGGCATATATTGCCCATTGTGATGCCCTCAAAAATTTTGCCGGGAGAGGCGAGTTGCAAACCTTTGTTATCTTCTATCCTTGTTAAACCATTTGGTTTTTCCGATAAGTTTGCTTTCGTTACCTCTTCCAAGCCAGTGAAAAAGCGATCCCCAAGACATTGAAGTCGCCTTGTCCGCAGTCCTGGACAGAGACTCAAGAAATGGTTGATAGATTCTATCTTCTCTTCATCTTGACAACTCCTGTATATTCTACTTGCTGGAACTCGTCACCGTTGGAGCATAGGCGCAATGGCATAGGGCCTCGTTAGTTCTCCAGTAAATACACGCATTGCAAGTTTCTTCGTAGGTTACCGAAATAGCGTTTTCATTTCTTTTTTTTGAATTTTACTAATTTGGAACAATTTTAGCTGATGTTCCTTCAATATATAAGTCTAATTATGTATTTAAAACTTCTCATTAAATAAATAAATACTGAAGCTCAGAAATTGTAAGATTTCTTTCATAATTTTCGCATTAAAAGTTAAATATGCAAATACTAACAAAAACGCTGGAACCCACGAAAATGAAACACTACAAGAAATATTATTTCATCTCATTTGATTTTACATGCAATTAACTTAAATTGCGCTAAATTCATGTGAAAACATAAACACAAAGAAACACAGTAACAACATTTAGTCTAGCATAAGGTACGCTGGATCACACATACACCCATACACCCATATACACACAAACTCTGTTACGGCACTCTCATTGAGTTGTACGTACTTAAACGTACTTACCCGTACGTAGGTATGTGTTTAACCAAAAAAGAATTTCAATTGAATTTCACTGTCTTCACTCAAGCATTTCCACATCCACCATAAATGCACATAAGTTGCTCGAATATAATGTATACACACACACTCACACACCCACACGCAAGCATACAAAAAGACAGTTTAAATAGTTAAAATAATTTTAACTGCTTTGGTTCTTTATAACGAAATTCACATGTAAAAGTTGATAAAATTATTATTAAAATAACTTATTCATTTGACTCAAATATTCATTCATGCACTCAACTATTCATTCCGCAATATGCATTCACGCCATTCTC